AGTTTAGTATCCACACCTGGTCAAGCACGTCAAGAAATTAGAGAAAGTGCAAATGTTTGTAACAAGACTAGTCCCAGAGCTAAGGGGACTGTCCTACGAAGAACGGTTAAGGGAAATTGTCCTGACGACACTGGAGGACAGGAGGGTCAGGGGTGACATGAAAACGATATATAAAATACTAAGCGGAATAGACAAGGTGGACAAAGATAGGATGTTCCAGAGATGGGACACAGAAACAAGGGGTCACAATTGGAAATTGAAGACTCAGATGAGTCAAAGGATGTTAGGAAGTAATTCTTCAGTCATAGAGTTGTCAGGCAGTGGAATAACCTAGAAAGTGATGTAGTGGAGGCAGGAACCATACAAAGTTTTAAGACGAGGTTTGATAAAGCTCATGGAGCAGGGAGAGAGAGAGAACCTAGTAGCGTTCAGTTAAGAGGCGGGGCCAGGAGCTATGAATCGATCCCTGCAACCACAAACCACAGCGTGACGATGGAGGAGGTTTATCAGAGATGACTTTCATACACACGCTCGTCTCTAAACATCGTACAAGGATAATAATTATACCAGCGTGTAGCCAGAAAGTTCAGCTATTTTTTGGTAACAATAACTCAGTTTTCATATATTTTCGAATTTTTTTTTGCTCCGCGCGCGGGAACTCTGAACCTTCCCTTAATACTGAGGATAACTACTCTATATGTATTATCATAGACGACTTAACGGACTCTTTGCTCCCAAAGCTATCGTCAGTTTTTTTTTTTTATTTTATTCGCCGGTATTCTCCCGGCCCGGGTGCCACGCTCTAAAAATAGGTGATACTGGTTAAATATACAGGTGTGTTTTCTCAAGCTACGCCTCTCACTGCTGGTGAGACGCAGTCGGATGTGTTGAGTAAAACAACAACTTATCATGTCGAGAGTAAATACCATCTTCGTGGTATTATTTTTGCAAGTACGTACAGTAATGCTCAGTGAAAGTCTTCTGATATATGTCAATGACTACCTTGTAATTCGGCTAATTTACTTGCTCTCTCTGTTATTGGGTTGATCAAACTTATTTACGTAACTGTAAATTAGAATAAAAAATCATATGAAAATATTTATTACGGAAGTGATTGCTCAATTGTATATTTATAAAGCACGCATATTCCTTAATTATAAAAGCACTGTTATACCTGTGTATTTAATATCACCCCTTAGTTCATAGACCTTTGGTATAAAACAATGTTTTACAACAACATGGCTTTATTATAAGTTCTGAGAACTTATTTAAATTTTAGTGTATTGAAAGAGAATAATGGAAGTGAATGGTGTGGGGATGCCAACATGGTAGGGAAAAAACTTTTATATAGATCAGGAACTCGTGACGTTGTACCTCCCTCATTAAAGCTTTTGCCTCCTGACGCTGGTGAGGGGCTGACCACCTCAAAACTTTAAGGGTGATGGACTGATTACATCGTCTTCAAGTATTTTCTGCTTCTATCAACTTTTCTGTACTCGACTGAAGAAGCCTACTGTGTAGGCGAAACGTTTCGAAATAAAGATACCTAACTGTTGCATATGTGTCTTACCTAACAATCTGTCGGTATTTTATACCATTTTAATGTTCAATATAATTTGTGCTCCGGTTCCCTGAGTTGAGCCTGAATACAATTAAACAAAACAAAGGCAGCTTTACCATCTTTGAAGTCTTAGCAAGAATCCTTCTGAAAACAGTAAACCCTGCCATCACATAGTCTATTCTGTTAATACTACACAAGCACATTACAGAGAATGAACACTGAAACAGGCTGCCTCTGTCCAGCCTCCAATAGAAATATTTATCTAACTTATTTTTATGTTTCCCAAGTAATAGCTTTTATATCCTTTTACTCATGTACAAGTTAATTGCTCTAACATATTGTATTACTACTACAACTTATATCACTACTACTACTACTACTGCCACTAGTATTGCACCTCACTCTGAGCTTATATATACCCTCTGTGTCCATGTACTGTTTGTAACGGCTTGATAAAGCTCCTAGAGAGCGAAACGTTGCCACAAAAAAATGTCACATTAGTTGCACTTGTGTCCTTTCACTTTACATATTGTCGGTAATTCTACCTACTTTATTAATACTCTGTACTGGATATTGACACAGCTAACAGGGCGAAACGTTTCCTCATAAATATTCTGGTGTTGCATAAGTTTTATATTTATATAATTTAAGCCTATAATTGAGATTGAAATGAAGTGGGAATTTTGAGAGAAGAAAAGATGGCGGAAATAAAAAGTTTTCTTCCTCAAAATACTCGCTGCTACAAATTCTTTAAGCTTAAAGAAAAAAAAAATAAGTATGCCACATTTGTTCCCGGCAAATGGGCACCTACAGAGATTCATAAAAAATTCTTTCCTATCTTTAGGAAATATAACCCATACGGATTTATCGTAAGATTTTTAATATATAATAATTTATTATGCATATTCTAATAATTTATTATTATTATTATTATTATTA